GTTTTTTTTTTTTTTAGTGGAGCATGTGGAGATTTGTCAGAGTCGGGAACGAGATGAGTCGAGATAGTGATAGCGGAGTCATGCTCAAGGCCGCGTAGGTGTACAGTAAGATAAGTGAGAGAACACGAAATGACTACTGCACGTTTAGTGGATACACTTATTGTGGACCTAGTCTAGTGTATGATAGTTGGCTAGGTTCTGATCAGCTATCACTGAGAATCGTCAGTATGCTACACTTACAGGACATTGTACTGTAACAGGTGACCTACTTGCTTGCAGAGTTAGTACGGTTAAAGGGTCAGAATACAGTCCAACATCTGCATTCTCATTCACAGCAGCTACTGATATGGAGTAGTTGGTTAGGGAAGTGAGTCCAGTCAGTGTAACTCGTCCTCCACTCATCCAATCTTCACCATCTCCTAGCACTTGGTCTACGGTCTCAGCTCTGCCGTTGGCAGTGAACTGAACTCTGTACTGAGTGATTGGACCATTGACCAGTCTACAGTTGGAGAGGCCACTCCACTGGACAGAGATCTCAGTGGAGCTCTCAGCCTCTGCTCTCACATCCCCCGGAGCCTCTCCTGCACCTGTAAATACATGCACAATAAGTAAGTAATAATTGCATGATTCATGGTGTTTTTTTATTCGAGCCGATCCTGTATGCTAAGGTATGAATTCGTCTGTTTCACATTGAGTAATTATGATTCAAACACACACACCACCACAACCGCTAGTCATCCTCACTTGTCTGTGGTGTTAGAACTCTCCTGGTCTCCCTGGGTCGACTGGTACCTCTAACATCACTGACTGCATTCACAGTCACCTCATATGTGGTGTACGCTCTCAACATATCAGTCACTGTTGACCCCACATCTCCTCCTACAGCAATACTGACAGTAGTGGAGGGAGCACTGACTGTCAGAGTGGCAGTATGAGAGTTGGTAGGGTTGCACAGCCCCTGCTGGTAATATCCCCGAACTAGAGAAAATGTGACAGTGTATCTGTCAGCATCTTCTACTGCATCCCAGGACACTCTGACACTGGCTGATTCTGCAGTAACTACTACCCTTTCGGGAGCATCTGGAGCTGTGGGTAAAGTATAATGGGGGAGTAAGGTAGTGAGTAAGGAATGGTAAGTGAGTATGTGTGTGGGTGTTTGATATGGGGCAAGGTAGCTATTATCTTCACGTGGGTGTGAGTGTTTCTGCTTGTGTTATGGGAGTGGGGGGGAGAAGAAAGTGCATACCAAGGGTAATAATCTCTTCAGCAACTGCAGGAATGACATCAGGCAAGCCGGAAACAACTTCTATTGAGATGATGTAGGTTTCTCTGTTAGTGAGACCAGTGATTTCAGTACTAGCTGTGTCTGCAGCAACGGTCTTAGTCCCATTTCCACCAGTTCCCCCAGCTATGAGATAGTGTACTCTGTACGACACAGGGAGTTCTGGTGTTGGAGACCAGGTCACTCTAACAGTAGTGAGAGCTGTTTGCTCCAGTGAGATTATGGGTCGAGTACCTACTGCATTAGAATAACACATAGTCGATATTCTGAAATTGTCCAAATGAATTCTTTACCTCTCACAGTTACATTAGCAGTTGTTGATGTAACACTAGTGACATTACATTGGAATACATCTCCATCTCTGCCACCGGATATAATTTCAGTCCTGGCAGTGTACCTGTCATTACTCAGAAACTGTGGAGTACCCACTGGCTGTATGTTGGTACTGATGTCAGAGTTGTATCCATTAGGTCCAGAGACGGCCATGTTGAGAGCTCTACCACCAGTGGAGGTACACCTCACTCTGAATGTCAATGTTCCTGCCTCCACCTCAATAGCTGCAGTTACCTCAGTGACTGGAGGAGAGGAATCATACAAGAATATCTCTCACTATATCATCACGAGAGATGGCTACTCACTGGGGTAGAGGACGTACAGTCCTAATACAGGGTTAGTGTCATCACGAAAATGACAGTTGATATATCCTTCCTCTGGAGTTTCCGACCTTCTCCACAAGTAGTGTACTCTACGACCACCTTCATCAGCTACTCTCCTTCCACTCCATCCTCGAGTTATACTACCAGCAACAAACTTATGTGGTCATGGTCTGGCCAACCACAAGCGACTGGACTATCTCCATCACCAACATGACATACATAGTATATTGACTGACTTCAGAATCAGGCAGTTCAGACCGACACCTCATAGCTCTGTCGAAATCACCATTTGAATTCACAAACTCAAAGTCGTACACACTTCTCCTTGATATGTTATTGTTTGGAATAGGCTCGCCATTCAGAGAGATGGTCACACCTGCAGTGATTATGAACATCAATTGTTGTAAACAATATAGCTATCCTACCCACCAACCATCAAGGTTTTTGCTTGAAAAAATACTGCCCATCCCACTACAAAATCGCCATTTGTGAGATCCAGGGATAGCGTATTCCCCATACATTTTGAAAGGGTACGCAGCATTATTGCAAGCACAAATATCCCAGCACAAATTTCACACATTTCTCAAGCAAAAGTTTATCTGCAGGGTGGTAGGGGCTATGTCATCTATCATTCTAGTTATTATTATAACGGGTTTCGCCGCCATGATTTGCAGATAGCTAGCTTGCTAAGAATCTTACCATCCACACTTAGTGTAGTCCAAGAACACACACTCAGCAGAGCCACTAGCAAGACTAGAACTTGCATTTCCCGAACTTCAGTGAGAAACCGCGTAGCAAAATCAGTGGTTACCGCGACTTCTGGTCTCGCCGAAGTAGCTAGAGAAGGTGCTACGGTAAGTGTAATGCGCATGCGCTACACCCTCCCAGCAAGGGGGTGGATCTGAGTAGCAGCCTCTCCGCAGACGACTCCGCGCGAGAGTCGATCATGGGATGCTGTGTGTCCAGTGGTGAAGAGAGGACAGACAGAGAGCCTCTTGCAGAGACCAGACCCGAGATACAGCTGGTAAATAAACTCGGTGAAGGGGATTAGCTACCTTATAAAAACAGTGCAGTGTAGATCATGTCTGAAACACGTAGCTGGAGTGTGCAGAATGT